AAAGGGTTGAGAAACATCTATCAAAACTGTAGGAGGATATCAATAGCAGCTACGCTGCATCTGTGTTGCGATTAAGTCTTCGTTCTTTCGCCTAGTAACCGTCGGTCCTCAAGCGGAAATTTTAGAGGAGCGTGATGCATCCCCGAAGGATAAATCGCGGGGTAAAATTTCCGAAGGCGCGTCGATCAACGGGCATTTCTTCGACCTCGCACGTGACTTCGTCAACGTTTTGACAACGTTTAGCGGACCGGCTTTCCCTCCCTTCGGCAGCCCTTTTAAAGGGATGATGGATGCCCGGCACGCGACTCGCTTCAACACCCCGAGGAGAGGCTCGATGGATATTTAGGACAATTCGCGCGTGCGTTGTCGTACCAAACAATTCATATATCACCTGGGCGACGTCGCGAAATAATAGGGAAATGAATTCGCGCCAAGGATGGAGATCGCGGACCTAATCGACACTCGGTATTAAGTGAACGCGACGTCATCAGCGTAAGTGCTGCAGAATCATTTTTACCAGTTGGTCCCGTCGGGAGATCCGTCGATAATTAATACCAAATTCTCTCGCACTTCGTGCTCCTTCGATCACGAAAAATGTTTTTCTTTCGCCCGTTAATCACACCTAGAACTCATCTTGAAAAGAAGGATATGTTTTAATCCTCCCCACGAGTTATTTATTAATAATTTTGTGGTACGTCTTTGTAATAACTAATAGTTTATAACTGATAACAATCCATTTAAAATGATAACAAATTTATGCCTGTAAACTGTTTTTGAATTCCTACCTTTGCTATGAAAAATAATATCTTTAAATTACATTTTCACATTTATTTCTATCATTTTTATAAAAGTGTAATTTGAAGATATTATTTTTCATACAAAGCTGGAAGTGAATTATAGGAATTCTATGTTACACAGTTTGCAAATATATTATCGTTTTAAATGGAATGTTCAGTTGTAAATTTAGTTGGTCGTAAATTAAATGGATTATAACTCGTAGTTATAACTCGTAGTCATAAAAACGCAACCACAAAATAATTAATAATTTGCGAAAATCTGTGACGATCGTTGGCCTAATTTTCGATTGGATGAATGGGAGACCGACGGAGCGCAAACCCCCGAAACGATCTCTGCTCCGCCATAAAAGTCAAGTTTAGTCCCGGGCTATAATGCTTGTAATCCAAATATAATTTTTGTCAGTGGGGTGCAATAGCGGTTGAAGCCACCCCGTTTCACGGACGCGTCCGGGCGGCCCGTTGGTGTTAGTGGCCTGGTCCCGAAATCATAGGAAAGCCACCCCATGTTACGACCGCGCTTTACATCCCCCCGAAAACTTAATACGAACTCGGCCCGGACTACACCCCGTACTTAGGGTCGGTCTATCGCGGTTACCGTGAACTTTGTCCCGCGTAAAATTTATTGCCCCATCGGCTCTGTTTTCGAGAACATTGTACAACCGAACTTTTCTCTCCTTTGGAAAACTTTGCTCGTAGATGCCTTTATTTTCAAACAATTTTAATCGCCCTTTTTACAATACTGCCTCAGCGATTTTATGATGGCACTTTATAACGCGATGCATGGAACGTAATTTGATTTGACCCTGCGTGCGGTGGCTTTCCCTTCGAAATACAAATCTCAGAATAAGAGAGAGAAAGAGAGACCAAAATCAACGGACGCACGTATGAACGCAATTAAAATGAATACTTGGGAGAATTAATCTAAATTTATTTCGAGCGCCACGTTACTTTTCAATGGGAATTAATTTCAATCAATAATTTCAACGGTTTTAAGTTATGTGGCGGGCGCGCGCGCGCATAATCGCGTCCACTCGTAAATAACTATTCTTCTGAATAGTTGGCAAAGTCCCGAGCGCTCTGGTGTTAAGTGGCACCGCCGGTCGACGTCTGGCGGCGCGACTGACGGCCGAATAAAGGGCAAATAAATTAAGTTAATGCGCTCCACACTCGGCCGGCGCGAGCGCAATCTTCCTCTCGGCCGCTCGCATTAACGGCCGGAGGTCCTCCCTCCGCTCACGCCATTGTTCGATGGAATTTGTAATTTAGATTGATACCGGGGCCCCGACTCCGGCCCCTCGGACGGGCGAGCGACGCTTTCGAGAAATCGTCCCGCGGAACCCGCCGCCATCGCGCCGCCGCAAATAATTCGTCGCAGCCCGCGAAAATTTATGACACCGCGATGGCGATGGCGAAACGCTTCGGAGAACGCGTTCCAATAAAGTCAACGAGCTCTTACGTGCGCAATAGGCGAACGCGCCCCGGATAAAATCGCGCCCGAGACGACAAGAGAAGTTGAGGAACGAGGAACGAATAAACTGGCAAAGTGACATAAATCTCCGCGTGTCTCTACCCAGGCTACATAATATATCGCATATTCAATGAGCCAATATGTCTCTTTTCAAAATAAACTGGAGTATCAAAATATTATATGTTTCTTAAAAATAATAATTTTGTTTCTAAAAGGAAAACCTGCAAGAATACGCTGCAGTCTTCACGCGAGATGTATTTAAAAAATATGTATACTCGGCGCGATGTTGAATAATATAATTAGATGGTTACTTCAGTTTCAGTTTGTAGTTTTATTTTTGCACTGAGAAAAATGTCCGATTAAGTATAATCGGATAATCCATTTACATAATAACAAACGGACATATCCAATTGAATTGTATATTCGAGGAAAAATACGATCGTTTTTTCAATAAAATTTTATCGGTAACTGGATTTCATCGGATGTATCCGTAATTTTATCGAAAAACGTAATCGGAAAAATTAACCATCGGAAATGCTATTTAATTGGCTTATCCGATGAAAATTTTTCTCAGTGTACCAAAACACAGCATTGCACGTCTATTTTCAAGTAATGAATCTATGAAAACTCGGGTTTTTTCGTATAACTGTACGTTTTTAATTCCATACATTTTACATAATGTAAATCTACACGGAGAAAATTTTCTTTTAAAATTTATCCTGAAAATCGTGTAATCGTGGGACAACATGACGTTTTGAAAAACTTTACGAGTTTTTGAAATTTTACCATACATTTTATTAGTAAAATGTATACTGAGTATAATCTTACTAATAAAATGTGCGGCAAAATTTCAGACAACTCTCATAAAGTTTTTCAAAATGTCATACTGTCCCACGATTACCTACACGATTTTCTGGACTATTTTTAAGAGGAAATTCTCACCGCGTGTAATGCGATTTTGACATAGATCCATTATGACAATTTAAAATGAAAGGTAATTTACTACTCACCGATACGATGCGCAGCAGCGGAGTTGTCGTAAACTACGTTGAACTGTAAAACACAAAAATATATGATTATTGTAAAAGAATTCTTTAAAATTGAAACAATTGCATTAAATATTCTTTGCTTTCTCTAAATAGACATTTAACAAAATAATTGTAGAACACTCGGAAAAAGTCTTCTTTTTAAACAAATTTCCAACGTTTGTTTTTGTCAGTAACTCTTATTTAAATCGTTCGATTAAATAAGACAAACAGGGAGTAAATGTTTAATTTTACAAGGAGCAAATAATATATAAGATGTGAAACATTTACCTCATGGTTGCCCCGCTGTTGCCCGATGCCTCCAAGCCCAGCTCCTCCTCTCAGATTTCCTCGCTGCACTCACGCAATATTCACTCGCGAAAATAATTAACTACGATCGCGCGAAATTTCGTGTGGAACTCCCGCACGCGACGTGACGCACCGCGAAACGCACGAAACATTATTAACATATGACGTGTGACTTGTCAAATTATTCAAACCAGCAATTCGCATGCCATCTTGCTTACGCGATTCAGAAGTAGGCGACTTTTAATGCTCTCTTTTCTCGAAAAGGAAAGCCAGATTACTCTGAAATCGACAGATAATTGAAAGCGCGATGCGTAGACGAGATGTATAATCGCGACAAAGTAGCACGGTTGACATTTACATTTTAGATAACTTAGTCTCGTTAAATTTTTCCCGGAGGAAATTTTCTCTTAAAATTTATCCTCAAGATCGTGGGACAACATGGTATTTCGAACAACTTTATGAGAGTTTTTAGAAATTTCACCGTACATTTTACTAGTAATTATACCTAGTATACATTTTACTAGTGAAATGTATGGTAAAATTTCAGAAAACTCTCATAAATTCGTTCAAAATGCCATGTTGTCCCACGATTTTCAGGTAAATTTTAAAATTCTCTCCGTCTACGTTGATAAAAAGCCGCGGTCACACATGCAAACCTTTTCTCATTACAAGTAATAGAAACTTAATAATCAATCAATGAACTTTACTTATACCTTTAAAGTTACTTATTCCTGATAAACGTGTACAAATTAAATAATCAACTAATAAGAACATTCAAGTCGCCAGCAGTAACTGACAGCTTCAGTATTTTCTTGACCGTATCTGGTATTTTGAATAATAACAGAAAATTTATTGCGAAAAATATTACTTCTGCCAGGGTTGGAACCTGGACTTCCCTACACTTTAAACGGGCGTTTCACTTTCCTCACTGGTCGAATTGGTGAGACGCCCGCTTAGAGAGTAGGGAAGTCCGGATTGAAACCCCGGCTGAGGTAATATTTTTCGCAATAAACTTTCTGTATTATTAAAAACGCCAGATATGGTCAAGAATATACGGAAGTTGCAAATTAAATAATGTTTCATGCGTACGCTCAATCATCGCGATCGGATCTCGGAAACTGATAACGTGAAATTACTACGACACACGGAGCGACTACTCGACGCTGCCGGCCGGCTCGACGTTCGGCGGGCGAATGATAGCGCAGCGACCTTCAAGTAAACAAACGCCCGCGTGACGTCGATTACTGAGGTGTGTTAATCGCAAAAACCATTGGAATTTCGAGCGCCGAGCGCCGAGCCCCGTTTCCGAGAAATGACGTAGCGCCGTAAACACCTCGGTCGAAAACAGTCTAGTCTCATTGTGCTTGTCATTCACACGGCGACAGTTGACGGGTCGGTTAGCGGCTCACGCCGCTCCGCGTCTCGTATTGTTCTCTCTTCATACGTGTTCGCGACAATTACAACGGGAAGAAACCGCGATCGCTCACTGTGAATAACCGGCAAGACAAACATCTCGCGTGATTCACACGTGAAATCTGTACGTCCAAAAATCAAAGTGCTCGCTAACTTGAAGTTATTATACATCTTCAGTGCGATAACAACAGGTAACAATAGTTTCATTAAACAATATTCGTATTAGGATAAATCTCGTATCGTCGCGTTGAATCTCTCGTCGCTTCGAGTGCAATTTGTCGGCTGCTTCTAATTAATAATACACGAAATAGTGAATCGAGTGAGATTTCTTACAGCGGCGAGAGAGCACCCGCCCTACTTTGTGCGCCGCCATTACTGGTTTTACATTATTTGTCGACCCCTTGGCCGTGAACACCTAATTCACAAATCCGTTTCCTTCAATTATACACCGAAGTTCAGAGTTTATTCATACTTGTGATCGTTTAAACTGCCAAAAACTTAAACTGTTCAGTAAAGAATGTTGCTCCGTAGTTGAAAAGATTTAATTTCCTCCTCGTTCTCACAGCCAAGATTGATCGTTGCGAAAGCTTCATCGCGGAAATTCATACAATTTGTGATTGAAAACCTGCACAATAGGGAACTTTCCTCTAATAATTGATCGATATTAAATACTTACTTTAAAAAGAGAACTAGATCTAACGTTACGCGCGCTATTTTACTGAAATTTATATTTATCCGAGTTGATTTATTCGCTAGAACGTGAGTTTAATAGTAAAATGTAACAATACTTGACGCCAAACGCCGCCTGACCATAATTTTCGCGGTTTGAAAGTAGAGCCGCTACGTGGAAAAGAGGTTCCCCGCGTACCAGAGAGAGCCCCGTTCCAGCTTTTGGATCTTAATACCTGGAAGTTCACGCGCAGTCTCGGGAGACCCTCGCAGGTGGCTGCGGCGCGTATCGCGGCCGTTCCCTCGCACCGCGGGGGGAAGCCGGTTTGCGGTTTCTCGCAAAATTTATGATGATTAAACGTTCGGTCCGGCCGGAGGTGCGACGACTTCATTGACCTACCCGCATCCATCGCGGTCTCCTCGGACAAATTGGATTATGATTTTATGCCGCGCTACAACTACGTGAACGTACCGCGTGCTGATTGCCGATCGCGTGAAAGGGAGAGGCGCAGGCGAGCATTACGCGCCGTCAAACAAAGCTTTCCACGACGTTCCCCGCGTCGCGATAATTATTAGGACCTTTACAACCGGCGACTGTAGCGGATAGATTTATACACAAACATCGCGACGCGACGTAATTATTTTGTAGTAACGACAAATCCATTACTTCTGATTAAAATAAGAGATGGCTCACCGGCACGATGCAGCGCAACAGCGGAGTTGCAATTGCGCCGCCGCTGCGTCTGTAAAATTGCGCAATTCAAATTTTAGCAGCAAGAAAATCGGTAATTTGTTATATTATACATACGTACACTGAGAAAAATGTTCGATTAAATATAATCGGATGATCCAATTATAATACATAATAACAAACCGATATATCCGATTAAATTGTATATCCGATGAAAAATGTGATCGGTTTTTCAATCAAATTTCATCGGACGTGTACATAATTTAATCGGAAAAATTAACCATCGGACACGCTATTTAATTGGTTTATCCGATGAAATTTTTTCTCAGTGTATGTATTTTGGAAACTAATAAGCGCATTGAGTTCTTTCAAGTGAATATTTATTAAAACATTTGCATAGTTTCTGCGCGAAAAATCTTGTTGGGTGCAAAGCTTCTTTTAACATTTTTACATAGAAATCTTCCTCTCCATAATTTTCTAATCAAAGCATTCGCAATATTAAATAAACGATTAAGCCCGCGCAGCCTCAGAAAGGATTTCTGTTATCGAATTAACAAATACTCTGGACGCATTTATATTTCTCACAATTTCTCATTTAGTATAAAAATAAGACAATATAAAAATAAAATGGATAATTCTTATTCTCCTCTATCGAACTAAAAAAGATTGACTTACTATATTGAGACAAGAGTAACTTATATAATATTCTTGCGTTTAGAATAAATTTTCCCTCCATATTACAACGCACGAAGTTGGCACCAAGATATTCCACAAAAGACGATTTTAGATTTTAGAATTTTTCATTTAAGATTAAAATATTTCTTTCTCTATAATAAATATGATTGACGCTATATCGATCCTATTTTATGATACATTGAAGTGTAATAGCATCGGATCCGGAATTTTTTTCTGTGAGTGCGAGAAACGGACGTACAGAGATAGTGTAAATAATAATTATTTGCTAATTACATGCATAGCAAATTAGTTTGAAGTGGACAAAGAGCGGAATATTCGTCATAAATTTATTTTACGAAGCGCTTAATATTTCAAAACAGCAATGATTCGGTTGGGGAGCGACCGTGTTTTCTGAACTCGCGTAAATTCGTAATGCGATAATTATTTTCAAACGTGTTGCAATGAAATATATTGCAGGTTCGAAATACACAAAGTGCGGCCGGTGTATAGCATTGCCGTGGCGTGAAGTATCCGCGCAATCTTCGAATCCTTCCATCCGTTGCGCTGACTTGCCAGATGTCGTGGGTCTCGAAAGGATCTTAACTTTCCTCGCGCTATTCTTTTATCGTGACTAAGTACAGCGCGTACAGTTAGTACCGGGAGTGCCGTGTAAAATCCCGCACGATCGCAATTAACCGGTTTTTTCCGCGAGTGAATATTGTGTGTGCGAGTGTTTTGTGCAACGACGAAGGAAGCCAAGGAGAGGACGAGGCAACGGGCGATCGCGGAACAACCATGCGGTAAGTACAATAAATTATTAATTAAATATAAGTTATCGTTGTTCATATACAAATAATTGTAATGATTTATCCGTTGTTTTTTAATTTTTGAATAACTCACATAATAATATTTAAAAAAGTTGAAAAAGAGGATAGAAGAAAGAGAGAGAATGAGAGAACGAAACTGAACAAAACTAAACCGTTCTATGACACTTCGATGTACGTTTTAAAAATATATTTCCGGAGTATTAAATATTCAGTAATTTCTAGATAAAAATGCAAAACTGATTACTCGTATTTTTGTGACGATTTATTTTATATTTAATACTCAGTTTTATCTCGTGGAAATTTTTGGAATCGCGTATTTTGCTCGACGTCTTTATGACATCGCGTTCTCAAACTAAGATAAATCTCCTTTCCTTATCTCGGGCTTGCTTCGAATTTGTCTGTTTTGGACCAGTCGACTGACCAAAAGATGCGAAGACGCAAGAAAAATACGTTCGCGTAATAGTGCAACTGATAGCGGCGTCCAAATAGAACGCCAGTCATCCCTCTTACCATTTTCGCTTCTGTCCCTTCTTCTCGCCTAATTTTCGGTTTGCCAGAACTACCGTCGTCGACCAAGGAAATAGTCCTCTCAACCCTAAATAGTTCTCTGGCGAACTGCTCCATTTGTTGACGTCGCGCAAACAAGTATTTCGTTACCGTTACATGCACCATACTTTCCTCGTTTTCTGCAATTTATTTAACAATTATTTTCGAACAAACGTAAAATCTACTTCTCCAGCAAAAGTTTAACACGATCCATTTTCAAATCCTGCAAATGTTATTATTGTATTAATTAAAAATTGAAATCCCCGCTGATATTTCTTACAAAAATTCATAAGTCACAGCTTTTTTAACTTATCGTGGTTTTCCCTCCATAAACATTATACTTGGAAAGTCTCATAAAAGAGGATGAAATTTTCGAATTTCTACCCGACACTCATTCATGTGTCATCGCAAAAATAAATAAAATTAGAATTTATATAACATGTTCAAAGATGTATTATGAAATATGAAGGAATGGAATCAAATCGTACGTTATATGGAAACGGGCGCGATAAATTTAGATGCATGCCGAACTTATCGTCACCCGAAACGAGCTAATTTGCATCGGGCGATAATCTGCGCGTAATTATCGTATTTATTGCGCACTCCCCAGAGCAGACGGATTCCCGATATCTTCCGATTGGCACACCCGTTATAATCACACCTACGGCCTAGGAGGGATGAAGGTAATTAATTGCCATGGCAACACCGAGAGCGTTCGAATTCCTCTCGCGCCACCGGATCCTTGGAGTGCTGTGATAGGGCGCTCTCGAAATCCTGGTATTCCCCCTCCGCTTCAGCCCTGATTTCGGTTGATATATGCGCGGCATTTCTATCCGCTTCGTCCATTTCCTTGCGCTAGGGCGTACTTGTGCGACCAATCGCCATAAATTAATTAGCGAGACACGTTGCGACTACAATTCTTTTCGGTGAAAACAATTACGAGAATTGCGCGCGATTCCACTCTGTTAACGAACCGAACTCGTATTAAAGTTTCTACAAATATTTCAGTTCTTTGACACTTTAATTTTAATGCTAAATATACCCTTGGGAAAATTTACTTCGAATGAAATTAGAGTTTTTAAAAGTAGTCTTTCAAATCTATGAGTTCACTTAGAGAAGTTAAAAGTTTACGTAAGAAATTTTAGGGTAATTTTCGACACTTGAAGTAACTTTTAGACAGCCAAGCCTGTCGAAGTTCCCGCTAGAGGGCCGCGCGGAACAACACTTTCTCGTAAGAAGAAAACCGTACGCGGTATTGTAAATTATATCACATACTTTTCACAAGTCTTAAAGTTTTTAAATTCTTAAAGTAAGTTTCAAGTTTGCCTTAAATAAAATGTTTAAGTGTCCAAGTGTGTTTTTCATATTTCTTATATTTCTGAAGTAAAATTTTACGGCTTTCTATAAGGTATATATTTTCCCAAGGGCAATGTTATTTTAATTTTTCTCAAGTGAATACTTGACCAAACGAAATCAGCTCTGCTCGTAGAATGCATTTGTAGTGAGTCGGTACGGCAAGTTTACTTGGAGCTGCGGGTCAATGGAGTCGCAATCGAATCGATTCATTCTGTCGGAGTTAAGGAAGATCGCGGGTTGACGGCATCACACTGTAAGGGGGAAAAGTCCCCGCGGTAGAAAGAACGCTCCTAACAAATAGTCGTTTTCTCCGAGGGGCGCCGCGTGCCCCGACTCGTTTAACAAGGTGTCGGACGCCCCGGAACGCGACGCTTTCATCTCGGCCGACCGTGGATCGACCTTATCTTCATCTCTCGACGCCCGAGACTCGCGCCTGCAAGTCCCGCGAGTGAGTCACGTGTTCGAATTGATATCACTGTCGGATACCGTGCTTTCGACTAATCGCGCTTAATTGGCCGTCCCCAGCGTCGCATAATTTTTCTTTACGTATATAATGAGGCTCCTCGACATCGTCGAGGAGCGTATTGAGAATTGATACGACGCCCGGATGTGACGTCCAATGCTGACGAGGGACAGAAATCGAGAGAAACTTCTCGAGTCGCTCTTATGCGCAACGCTCTCGTGACCCGTTATTATCCTCGTAAGGAGCGAACGCGGCCGGTTCTTATCTCCGACAATAAATAGTTGTGCAATTGGAGTGCCAACGATTGGCGGATAAAAAGACGAGGAGGAATGAGAGCGGCACATTCGGGCGGAACAAAGGGATGGTTGGCGCGGACGCGAAATTAAAATAAACGGCGGCAAGAAATCGCGTTTTAGCTCTCTCTCTCTCTAGTTTGTTTCTCTTTCTCTTCTTTCGCCTCTCTTCGTTCCACCGTTCGCTTTACGCGCGCTGCGTCGCGTGGATTTTATTGCGGCGTTTAAGCGTTTTCATGGCGACAGCGATGCGAGATCGTCCGCGTCGTCGCGGTAATTTCTTTTCAACTAATTTGCTTCAGAAATCTGTAAAGTCCTTTTTGCCGGGACACGTTAGGACTCGATATTAAATAGGAATAAACGGATTGAAAAGTGACAGCGTCACGCGGCAACGACACTCTACGTCCAACTTGAGAGGAAAGCTTACAATTAGTCTTAGAACTCAGCCTTCGCCTATTCATTCGCATCCTCCTGTCGATTTTATCAACGCGAACGTCTGCCGTTTCTACCCGAAGTTAAGAATTGAAGAGAATCCGAATTTCGCAAGATTAAAAAACATATAAACCAGTGAGTTTGTTGTCAACGCAACTGGCAAATTTTATTTGCCAGTTCGGTTGACAATGAGCTCGCCGTTTTAATTTCTAGTCATTACTGGCGACTGTATAAGTGACATTTTTCTTTCGTTAAAGAACAAGACCAAAATTGTCGGAGCGATCGAACGCACAAGCTCAAAGGTTCTCCGCTGTCGTTAGCGTCTCGCGTCTTGCTCCTTTTCTGGCGCAATATCCTCGATTATGCGGATGCTACGTGAATGCCCCCCCTTCCAGCGCGCCGGCCATCTTTTTACGACGCCAAACCGAACCCTTTTTTCCCGCGCGCCCTTCGCACGGCAAAACGGACGTGCACGCTTACGTATATGTATATGTATATATATATATATATATGCGTGCACGCTTCGGTACAGAAAAATAACAAGGATACTCGCGCCATAATGAAGACCTCAAGGCGCCGCGCCTCGGCGATAATTACAGGGAGCCAACCTTACAACCTTCTAAGGGCTTAAATGTTAAACGTTATACATCTCGACACCACTACGGTAGCTTTTATGGTACGCGCGCGGCGCAATCTCTCTCGTTGTTCCTTCCACTCCGCTCTATTTCCCTCCTCGGAGGGCCCCTCCTCCCTCCCCGCCCCCCGTCGCGCCCACGGTTTTTAAGGACGATCTCCGGCGCTCGCATCGGGCAGGTTTCGAGAGCCGGTCTGCGTAGAAACTAATGAAACTCGAGCTTGAGACCCTCATCCCTCGACAGGCCCCGCGGTGTATATATCATCCGACAGAAGTACCTTTTATCTTTTCACGCGGTCGTGCGCGATAGGAAAACACGCGTCTAGTTCTAACGTCTCGTGTCCCGCGAAACACTCCTACGCTGCTCGCGCGAGTGAAATCCCGCCGGTGAGGATTGTCCTTTAAAGGAGGCGCCTCGCGCCTCCGCGCTTGTAATCGTTGCGGTCCAGCTTATCGCGGGCCGCGGACGGACGCGCGGTTTCTTCAGCGCTGTCTTTAATTACGCCCAACTCGAGTGGTCGAGGGAGGATCTGGGGGGGGGGAGGGCGTAGGGCGGTCGAAGAGGGAGGACGGACGCCGCTGTCGGGATGTTGTGCACGCGGTTCGTTATGCGTCAGCGTAACGATCGCGGGATGAAGATGTTACGTGCGTTAGGAGATCGCCTGACGGCCGTAGGCAAGGAGGTTTTAATTGAACGGGCTGATTTGCGCCGCGCAAATAACGTCCCGGCGGAGCTGCGCTGTGTTTTGCGCGCGATCCACGTACGTCGCGGCAATGCGCTCGGTATCCCTCGGCACAGAAGGCCCGGTGGGTATTTCCTTCAGACCGGTGTTTTAAGCAAACACTGAGAAATGGGGGGGGGACACTAAGGAGGTGAAAATCCGTGTTTGCTTTTCTTTCGGTAAAGCTGGAAACGCACGAAGAAACTTAAGTAGTGAGACTTGAGACTTAAGAATTTCCTGCAAAGAGTCCAAAAGACTCAAAATGCCGCTCCCGACAGTCATTGGTGATTTCCCGTAAATCTTACGTCTTACTGCTCGAGTTGTTTCGTGTATTCGGACCTTAATGAGAAAAACGACGAAGGTACCGTATCATCTCTCGATAGACTCCTCGCGTGTCTTTCAACGAACATTTTCAGGCACTTCAGTAAACGTACTTGGCATGCGTTTGGTGAAATTATAACGAGAGTTTCCTATATTTAATGTGATTCATGCGAATATTACATAGAATTACCATATAAAGGGCAACT